GGCAGGAGACAGCAAATGAGAGCACACAGCAACAGAAGAGTCTTTTCTTTTTTAGAATATTTTTTGTATTTTTTAAGAATAAAAGGCAGGTATTTTTAGAAAATATTCAAAAATGGAAACTGAACCAAAAAATGGCCCTGATGTGTGGACCAAGCACAGGCAGGAGACAGCAAATGAGAGCACACAGCAACAGAAGAGTCTTTTCTTTTTTAGAATATTTTTTGTATTTTTTAAGAATAAAAGGCAGGTATTTTTAGAAAATATTCAAAAATGGAAACTGAACCAAAAATGGCCCTGATGTGGACCAAACACAGGCAGGAGACAGCAAATGAGAGCACACACCAACAGAAGAGTCTTTTCTTTTTTAGAATATTTTTTGTATTTTTTAAGAATAATATTTAAATAATATTAAAAAATAATATTAAAAATATTTAAAAATGGAAAAATAAGAAACAAATTCACAAAAACCGAAGGAAGTAATGAAATCCAAGCAAGGAAAGCAGCACTAAGCACAGCAGCAAGGAATGAATCCAAGGAATGAGCAAGGAATGAATCCAATCCAGTTGCTAGCCAAGCCAAGCCAACCCAATGCAAACCCTCCCGGACCTCTTCTCTCTCCCTCGCCCTCTGCAGCAATGAGCTATACGGCCGCGCGGAGCCGCTTTTAAAGGGCTCGCCGGCCAATCAAAAACAGCCACGGTGCACTGCTTGGGTGCTTGGGAGCGCCGGATTGGCTCCCAGGCACCAGCAGCCTCCATCCCATTAACGAAACGAGCGGAAGCTCGTTAAATCTATGGGGGTTGCCAGTTCGATATTTTTAAACCCTTCCGGGTTTGAAAATGTGGTTTGATATCGCTTCGGAAATGCTAAAAATAACGAATTAATAACGAATTACAAAATTAACGAACGAAACCGCACAGGCCTATTAAATACCAATTGACTCTCGAAAAGGTTCTTTAAAATTATGAAAGAGGAAAGATTTGTAAGGTCACTGTTATTCTTAAAGGCTATTTTAAGGAAGTTTGTCAATGCAGTTTAACTACTACATCCATGAGCTAAAATTGTTCACATGTATCCATGGATTCTGCATCCATAGATTCCACCATCAACAGCTTGAAAGCATATATATTTTAAATTGATTTGCCATTTTATATAAAGCATATCATTCTCTCTCTCTCTCCACACACAGACACACACACATACACACACACTTGGCTATCCACAGATGTTGGTATCCATGGGGGTCGTGAAACCAAACCACGGTGGATGCCAAAGGAATATGAGAAGCTGTTAGAAACTCTTTGAACAGAGTATATGGGGCAATTATATCATTTGTGTTGTCTGTGAATGGTAAACCTGAAAATCCCATAGTAGCTTCACCTTAGAGTTACCATAAATTGGAAACAACTTGAAGCTGCATAGCAATAACAGCAGTCATGGAGTATCAGATGTTGGTTTTTTACTTCAAAATGCCATATTTAGAAATGTGAAGCATAATCATATTCATTTTAGTTGTTTTCTATGAGGTTTGGAGGTCCCCTTCAAAAATAATTTTTACATCAAAACTGAGAAATATTGCATAACTCAACATACTGTATTATGTTGCATACATGTGCTTTTACCAGTGCTAAAAAGATACTTCTTTTGAAGTATCATGTGAGCTGTTAAAAAAAATGTTTTGTTTTTTCCCTTCCTTTCTCCAAAATGAAATTCAAAGTGGCTTGTGACGTTTGTTAAAAACAGAACATTTAAGGCAGTATGAAATATGAAACCTCAAAACACATTAACACATCAGTTCAATTAAAGCTCTGTGTTGAAGACATTAATATTTGAAACAATTACAAACAGCACAATTGTAGCATGGATCCCCACCTTTTCCTGTTCCTTTTGGCTTTCTGATCTTTTTTAAACAGTACAAACTGACCTACAGAAATGTAAATTTGTGCAGCTGGTATTGTGGGAGGATGGATAACTCTGTGAACTGTTTGTGCTTTTTATTGACTTACAGTACTTTGGAGAAAGGCATTAATCCACAGCTCAGTGGAGCAAAAGAAAGTGAAATGCACACTGAAGGATTGCTCTCCTAAAAAGGAAGCTATCATAAATTGGCTTCTTCTCAAGTATATGGTACTTGAAAGCAATAGTTTAATGTTTATTATTACTTGTGAGTTAACCTGTTCCAAGTAACAATATGTCAGTATCAGTGAATGGTGTGCAAGAGATACAAACAATGTAATTATCATATATTCAATACCATCACTTGAATGTGTCAGGCTGCTGCTACAGATAAGGTCATCTTGCAAAGTTGTTAACAAATATTACACACAGCTGCAACTGCTGTTTTAATTTTATAATATTTGTTTTTTTTCTGTTCTCAGACCAGCTTTACAAAATGTTACATTATTGTTATAATTAATGTGTTTAAAAGGAAAATCGAAAAGTTATGGTGGGGAGATTCTGAGAAATGATCCAATTTCAGGTATTCAATAATCATTTCTGAGAGGAAGCAAGATTGTGGCTGAAGTCTGTGCCTTTGACTTAACAAATGTTAATTTTGAATGTCTTTGTAAACAATGCTTATATAAACTTGTTCATGCATGCCAACTGTGTAGTTCTTACAAATTAATCCACAAAGGTTTGTCACTTCAGTTGTACAGTAAGACCTCTGTATCTCTAAGGCACATGTGTCAAACTCAAAACCTGCAGCCCGAATCTGGCCCACCATGCCATTTTATGGGGCCCTCCAGATGCTGAATGGGAACTCCAATATTCCTCATCATTAGATGACATAGCTGAAGCTGGTGAGATATAGTAACATCTGGAAGGCTGCAGTTCTGTTTAGTCAGGATAATGGGTTTTAATTTAAATACAAGCCTTGTGAATAGGATTTCTGGCATTAAAATGGCCTTTGATATTTCCTCAACCTCAGAGCCACAAGTTCTGTTGGCTTGCAATTCTCATTATCCCCAGTCTGCCGGATGGATAATCAAAAGTCATGGGAGTTATTGCTCAGTAACATTTATGGGACCAAATTGGGTAGAAACTAAAGAACACCGATCACTATGTAAATATATATATATAGTTGGCCCTCTGCGTCCATGGACTCTCCATCTATGGATTCAGTGGCTATTCAAAAGCAAAGGTAAGGCAAATGTGGCCATCAATGAAAATGAGTTTGATACCTCTGATCTTGGGAATACGTGCCTGTCTGGACTGTGGTTGCCTGGAACTTGGAGATCCATCTGAATGCCTTTAAATTAATAGAACCATGAAATTATTTGAAAGAAATCACAAGGGCTAGTGACTTTATGGTAACTTCTGGGGGGAAGCATACCATAGAAATGCATGGAGGACCTAGCAAGTTCCTAGAGAAACAATTATTCTTTGGGCACAAGTAAGTGAAACCAGGGATATAGGTTTAGTAATTATGGGGCCTTACTGTATTTTCTGAATGCTTGAAAGGGGCTGCTACTGTTCCTTGCTTCAGATGACACAATAATGTTATTATGGAAGTGAAAGAACTTCCTGGAGAAGAAAACCCGCTTTTCTAACCTCTAATCTGCATTAGTTGTGGGGTATGAATAAACTTCTGATTGTGGGTTTTTTCGCTATATGGCCATGTTCTAGAGGCATTTCTCCTGACGTTTCGCCTGCATCTATGGCAAGCTTCCTCAGAGGTGAGGTCTGCTGGAGCTGGGGAAAAAAGGGTTTATATATCTGTGGAATGACCAGGGTGAGACAAAAGGCTTTTGTAAGTTGGGCTGGGTGTGAATCTTTCAACTGACCACCTTGATTAGCATACAATGGGCTGACTGTGCCTGGAGCAAACTCTTCTTGAAGGGTGATTAGATGTCCCTGCCTGTTTTTCTCCCTGCTGTTTTTGCTGTTGCAATTTTAGAATTTTTTAATACTGGTAGCCAGATTTTGTTCATTTTCATGGTTTCTTCCTTTCTGTTGAAATTGTCCACATATTTGTGGATTTCAATGGCTTCTCTGTGTAGTCTGACATGGTGGTTGTGAGAGTGGTCCAGCATTTTGCAGGCGAAACGTCAGGAGAAATGCCTCTAGAACATGGCCATATAGCCCGAAAAAACCCACAAGAACTGAGTGATTCCGGCCATGAAAGCCTTCGACAACTTCTGATTGGATTAATCATGTGGTTTCATCCAATTTGAAGTAATAATGGAGTTGCTTCTGTCCTTTTGAATTGTGGGCCCTAATGGTCATTGAACAGAGGATGTGGACTTCCATATCCAAGGATATAGTTTTTACTGATTATCCCCTATTCTTACAATGTTCCATCTAAACTTATCAGACGGAAACACACATGAGCATTACATCTGCTCCCAAATGCTGCTATGTGTTACTTCCTATGGGTACAGGCATGTAGCCAGGGGGGGGGGGCTCGGGGGGCTTCAGCCCCCCCCCCGAAATTTTCATGGTGGTTCGCGAAAAGGCCTTATTGGTGCATTATTTAAACTGTTATGTTTATTCATATCATGATCTGATCACCATACTCAATATATCCCATATGCATGGGGGTATTGGGGTAATGATACAAAAGGTTTGCTAGGCTAGACCCTCTTTCACTCAGACTCAGCCCCCCCCCCCGAAACTCAGCCCCCCCCCGAAACCCCCCCTGAAAAAAAATTCAGCCCCCCCCGAAACGAAATCCTGGCTACGGGCCTGTATGGGTATGTGATATTCTTCAATCTAATTTACAGCTTTAGCTGTAAAGAAGGAAGCTTGGTGCTCCTGCTGTTTATATGCGGAAGGTTTTTTCCTGAGTAGTTGCAAATGACACAGGAAAGGAACATTTCTTACTCTCACCAATATTTTGTTAAACTTCAGGTGTGTTTATATCTCATTGATCCTTGTCAATCTTTTAAAGAGTTGGGATAGAAAGAAGTGGCTAAAAATCAAACAGCCCTCCTTCTCTGGTTGCTGAACTACATCCACATATTTACCTTTACTAAATCATGTTATCCTTTGTTTTTCAGCCAAATGCATTAAGAGTTGCTGACTATGCCTCGAAGTCCAACATCAAGTGAAGATGAGATGGCTCAGAGTTTTTCCGATTATTCAGTGGAATCTGAGTCAGACAGCTCCAAAGAAGAAACCATTTATGATACTATCCGGGCCACGGCAGAAAAGCCAAGCAGCAGGATGGAGGATGCCCAGAACAACACATTAGTGATAAGGATTATAATACCGGACCTACAGCAGACGGTAAAGAGAACTCCATTAAAAGTTTATTGACCAAGATCATAGAACAGTCTGGTTTGTAGTAGTCAATTAAAGTATGCTCATACTTTGCAAGGATTTTTTAAATGTCAAACACATGTAGACAGTGTTTCTAAAAGGTGGGATTACAGAATCATACACTGAAGCTTAAGGGAATAGAAATAGTATTGGAAAGACATCATTAAGAAAAATGAAATGCATAGTTCACTTTGTGCATGGTTGCCTGATAAGCAGGCTCCAAATCGTAACAGCACACATTCCCTCCTTCACTTGTTTTTAACAGAACAGAATAGTTACCTACAATATGAAAAAACCATCTTCTTCTGTGGTTTTATTATGCACATATTCTTTCTGCTCTTTAAAATGTTCTAAAGGACCTTTTGAAAGGATTTAGATAGAGATTTTGTGCTCTTTTAAAAATCTTTAATGAAAGGTGAATATTCTCAGAATCTTTAATAAAGACAATTTTGATAGTATTCTTTAGGAGCTTTGAAACTGAATAGACTTAGCAAAACTCAAGAAGGAATGTGTTTTCCTTCTTACAAAGTGGACTGAATAAATCTCGTTAGATACGAGAGAAGTGCTGGCCAAAATGTATAAAGACAGCTATTTTCAGTTTTAGCAATGCAGTTGTGCTTTTCCCAATTGCATGCTGTGTTGCAAGACTGATCAACTTTAGTTTTTAATTGTTTTTTAAAAGAAAAGAAATCTTTGCAGACTTCAGAAAGAGGTCAAGGAATATGTTTTGAGTGGCAGTGATATTTTGCTAAATGCATTGTGCAATCTACAGAAAAATTAAAATTTTAATCTTTGTCTGGTTTTGTTTAGGTTCTTGTTTGTTTCCCAACTGTCTGTTGTGTTACCATATATCTGCTATGTTATCATTTAATTTTAATAATGTGTTACTATTTTTGATATAGATGTGGATTTGTTTTTGGAATCTGAGTGGGTTGGTATTTTTTTCTTTGTCCAGTCTCTTTATGGCATTGAATATTTGCTGACATTTGGTAATTTGCCAACATTTGGTAATTTGGCAGATGTTAATTTTGTCAGCGCCAATTGTGTTTTAAGTGCAGGCCAAGGTCACCCAGTGTGCCGATCACCACCAAAGGCTTGTACCAGAGCCTTTGCAGTTTAATCTTTAAATCCTCATATCATGTCAGCTTTTCCAGTTGTTTCTCTTCAATCCTGCTGTCACTTGGGATTGCAACATCGACAATCCATACTTTGTTTTTTAAAACGATTTTGAGGTCAGGAGTATTGTGCTCCAAAACTCTGTCTGAATTTGGAAGTCCTAGAGGAGTTTGACGTGTTCATTTTCTTCTTCTTCTTATTATTATTATATATGCAACCGTGGACAGTTTTACACTGTCATATAATGGCAATATAGAGTCACATTAGTCTAGGTGTGTCCGCACAATGTACGCAGGCGTATGCTAGTTATTCGAATATCGGAACATCTGTAGGGGTGCTTGTTTTTGGAGTTCCCCCACCTTGCTTGTTGACTGCTGCTTCTGGCCATTTATTCCATCAACCCACTTTGGTTGGGATTGATTATATTACCTTTAAGCTGTTTTATTGTATTTATATTTGAATTGTTCAATTGATATGTCATGTTTATTACTGTATGGTTAAACAGACATGTTAATTGTTTAAATTGATATGTCATGTTTATTATTTTGTATGCCGTGGTCTGTAAACCATCCTGAGTCCCCCATTGGGGTAAGAAGGGTGGGGTATAAATGTAGTATAATAACATAAAATAATAAAGTAAACTGCTTAATGCAGCTGCATCCCGGGTTAAAAAAAACACAAGAAAAAGTCTGGATCATGCGCTAAGATTTTGATTTCCCATGGGATTTCCCTTGGGTTGGGACAGTGGGAACAGCCATCCGGGATCCCTATGTGGGATCGTGTCCCCACAGCCATTGTGCACTTCTCAGGCAGCCTAGGGAGGAGGCTGTCTCCCTTCCTCCAATTCCCCTTCCCTCCAAAAGGACAAAAGAATCATCACTTACCAGATCTCTGTTCTCTCTACTTTCTTGTTTGTCCCATGTAAGTAAGCAAAGCAGTTTGAGAAGAATGTGCCCTCTCCCCTTCGTCCAAGCTGCTGGGCTCATTCAGGTGGGACACACCAGGAGTGTTTTAGTGTGTGTGTGTGTTGGAGGGGGCACGATTAGGGTGCATGGGGTGTTTCCTGCCTCATTTCTAGCCACTGAAAGCAGTTTCAGCTGTGGGGCCGCATTTCCACCTCCAAGGCTGCTGATAGTGCCTCTATGTAGCCATAATGCATCTCTCAATTTCATATTATTTTGAGCGGTATTATGCACCTGTTTAGAACTGTCCTAAATTCAGAGTAAATGAGAAGGAAATTTAGACTGTAGAGATTTAAAGTTAAACACGTTTCAGTTCCGTTGTGTTTAGTGAGAGAATTTAGATTCTTAACTCTTCTGTTTACATCACTTCATATCCAATGTGCTTAAATTTGCCTAGATCATATCCTTTGTATTGATGACTACAAAATAATTATATCACCACGAGGTCACAGGTTCACATTAGCCTTGCACAGGATTAATTATTTGGGATTATTTTTGCAGCTGCTCATATTTGCATGTTATGTATTTCTGCTAGGTGTCACAGTCTTCTGCTCTCCCACCACAATATATTGCAATATATGTAATAGTTTTTTTCCCTTTTGGTGGAAATTATCCATTTGAGATAATAACAATTATATGGTTGTTCTATCCCGCCTTTTTCAGCCTGAAGGCGACTCAAGACAGCTTACAAATTGGCAGCAATTTGATACCACAACAGTCATAAAATACAACTAAAAAACATTTAGCACAACATTATAAAAATCCATACAAAAAAACCATTAAAACATATAATCACCAATTATGTCTGAAAGTTGATGTAGATGGAATAAATATTTATCTCTAGCTAGGATTCAAAATGAATCTGTCTGGACACAGACGCCTTAAAGGGCCAGACTCAGAATTAGTTCCAAAGTAAAGTTTATTAAACAAAGAAAAGGGGCTCAGAGACACTTAACTCAGTGTCTCTGGCCAAACTCAAAAGCAGAAACCAGTCCTGGTTCAAAAGAGATAACTGAAGCAATAATCTGGATTATCTGGAGAAAAGAACCGGATTAAAACAAAGCGCTCTGAAAGTTCCCCAAAATAGCACAGCAAGTAAACAGTTAACAAACAAAAGGGCCACAGGGAAGAGAGCATAGTCAAATGAAGTCCGAGGTCAAAGCAAGCCGAATTCCAAGTAGCGAAGTTTCAAAGTCCACGTAGTCAGCATCATAGTCAAACTGGTCTGAAGTCAAAAAAGGGGAAGTCAGCACTCACGGGAATCCAAACCAAGTCAAAAGCACACACGAACAGAAGCAGCAACCTGTAGATCCAGGACCCAATGCTAACACGAAATAGGCAGCGACAAGAACCCAATGCACGAACCAACACCTTACCTTCTGTGAAGAGCCCCCATTTCAGAGCCTCCTTTTATCTTACACTTCATCACCGTCGTTATCCCTTGCAGCTGTTCTTGATCCCACATGTGAACTCCTACTTCCATCCCTCCAAGTCCTCCATCTTCTGTCAAGACTTAGATTGCCCCAAGACTCAGCCGTATTCCCCGATTGCCAGTCCTCATTACCAGAGAATCCTACAAATGTATCACTGGTTGTCGGCTCTGCACATACAGCTTGTACCTCTTTTACCTTAGTGCAGTCCAATGTGTCATCACCATCTTCATCACTCTCTAACCCATCACCCCCAGAGAAACCCAAGAATGACTCCTCATCTGTGGGCGCATTAAGTATCTCCCGGATCCTCTTCCTTTGTTGCTCCTCATCAGACTCCTGCTCCTGAGTAGTCCTTTTCCTTCCCTTAGACCAATCCATGATGTTTCCTTCCTCCTCCTCACTTGTTGACCCATCATTCCTAGAGAAACCCAAGAATGATTCCTTATTTGTGGGCATATTAATATCTCCCGGATCCTCTTCCTTTGTTGCTCCTCATCAGACTCCCTCCCGAGTAACCCGTTTTCCCCTTCTAGTGTCTACACTACTGGTAGCATTGTTACCCGCAGGCTCTACTACAACAGAATCTCTGTTTTCATCTATATCTCTAACTTGGAAAGTAGGAAGTTGCGCAAGTTTTTGGGGGGTAAGTGTTTGTAGTTTCTGTGGAAGTTAGGAATGTAGTATAGTATATTTTACATGTAGTGTGTAGTTTCAATCTATAGAAAACTAAAAATAAAATACAAATAAAAATGAAATTTGAGACAAGGCAGCAGTCAGATTTCTTTATTATTATATATCTTCCTTTTTTATGAGTTGTTGTTTTTCATTTCTTTTAAATTAAAAGTTGCATGGATAAGAGGAGCTTAACCTCCAAACTGTCACTCAATGTCTCAGCACTTTTCTTCCATTCATTAGTGTTCAGGGGGTAGAATATTCTTCTCTGCACCCCCAATAAAGTAAAAAATAAATAAAGAATCTCTCCTCACTGTTTTATAACCAGATAAGGAAGGCACATAAGACGAATGGAATTGCAGCCATTGTATTTGAGAGTTCAGTACTTCCCAGAAGTAAAAGGGACATTCAATTGAAGAGTTCTTTTTGGTAGAAATTTTTAAAAACTGTTCTAAGTTCTTGTTTGAGATAGAGTATAGACAAAGGAATTCCATAGTAGAATTATGTCTGTCAGAAAGTATATTTGCATATCACTGCATTAAATGGGATATCTGTCTGGAGGTTAATAAGGACTTTTCAATACGTGTGGCAAGGTGAAGACCGTATTTGAGCAAGGTTGAAGTTACTTTCACATACGGTGGAATACACATATTCCTTCCTCTTCCATCTGTTATTTTCCTTTTTCAGATAGCTTACGTAAGAAGCTTGTTTTAGTAAGATCAGATCTCATTTCCCCTTCTTGACCATATGGAAGTGAAGCACCTTAAATAAATTATGTACACAGTCATATAGTATGTGGCACATATAGTATGTGTTCCCTTCTCAGAGAAAACTTAACTTCACTGGTCTTGTAGATCCAGCAACGTGTCTTCTCAGCTGCTTAAAATAGAACTTATCGATTTTTTTAGTTTTTGCATATTCAAGACTTTTTTGTGCATAGCCTTTTTTTTTTTTTTAAAAAAAAGACTACTACTGTAGTACCTCAAGTGAAACATCTAAGCACTTTCTGCTTATTCTGTTTGATTTTAAACCAAAACCAGCTTACTTTAAAAAAAAGAACCACCTTAGCAACTTCCTGTATTTAGCTAGTTTTGCTAAAGGAATTATGGCAGTAGGATACTGTAGTATGCTGATGAATCTGAAAATGCTACATTGATCTTTTCAGATGTTTTCACCTATGTCTTATATAATATTTACTTTTTCTTTTCTTTGTGTCTGCAAGTACACATTTCTCTGAAGATAAAATATATGTTGACATCATTTCTATGGTCATTTCTATGTCATCTGTTTAGCAGTATGGGCATTGTTCACAACTAAGAGCTATACCCATTGTAAATAATTAGAACATAAGCAATCATGGATGATGACTTGGTGGTGATGGTGCTTCTTTCCCAAGGTGTTTATTATCTGGTGGTCCAAGTTTAATTCATCTTGCCACATTAAGAGCTATTATTTTCTCAGTGTGCAACACCATCAAACTGTATGCTTGTAGACTTTGTATATATTCAGGGGTCCCCATACGTATCATCTGGTTGATTATTTTTGGCAAGAGTTTATAATCATATACTTTGTAAACAGATTTGGAGACAAATTCTGGAAGCTTACCATAGAATTACCTGAAGAACCTAGAAAATTTCTTGAGATGACATATTTTTGTCAGATGCAGGTTGGTGAAGCTACAGCAACTAGGTATGAGGGTTGTACTGTATTTTTTTAAAAAAATAATGGAAATAATCATACGTCTGATGCATGAATGCCAATAATGTTCATGTGTATCACTAGATTTTGTGTATACTAATTGTCTTTTCCTGTTCTTTTTGTGTGTTGTTTAACAGAAATGTATTAGATTCAATCCTGAAGCTTCAGTGTGGGTAGCAAAACAGCGAATTCTTTGCACATTGAATCAAAGTTTGAAAGATGTTCTCAATTATGGCTTGTTCCAGCCTGCAAACAATGGGAGAGATGGGAAATTTTTGGATGAGGAACGCCTTCTTATGGAATATCCTCAACCTATTAATAAGGGAGTTCCATCCTTGGAGGTACTTTAATAAACAGCCTTTTATTTAAAATGTGGACATTATGATATTCATGCAATGGAAAAAGCTGTGGATAATGAAACATATGTTGGGAAGTACAACATATTTTGTAGAGTCGTTATAACCTAGAACAGTGGAAGAAGGGAAGATTTATTGTGCTAGAATATAAGGAAAAGGAAGCTCAAGATGTTGCCAGTTATATAGTTTTTGAATCTCATCTGTTAACTAATTTCATGGCTTTCACATTTGTTCTAGGGTACAATTATTTGGACCAACATGGTTTAAAAATTCAGTTTCCTATTATCTTTCTAATACATACTTAGCAATGAAAGTATTACACACTGTGTGTAAATTGTTTGCAAGATTTGGGTAGATAGCACATTAAAAATAATACACATCTTTAATAGTAGTCCCACATCTGTTAGACTTGATCTCCCCCTGTTCTAATAAACTGTACTGTAGAAGTATTGTTTCAGTGGTGACTTTAATAGAGCTTTAGAGATGAGGAGAGAATGGAGAGAGCAAGTGGGTCGCTATTAGAGTGAGAAAGGGACTGGGGGAACAAAAGCTTATTTTAAAAATAAAAATGATAATCCTTACCCAGCATTCAAATACATTTTTAAAATAAATATATATTGCTTAGTCAATATAATGAATATCTTCAACAAGATGTTGAGGTTTTAGTCTCCCATCTAATGAACAGCAGTCTTTTTTCATCTTGGTTTCGGCTACTAATGTAGCACAATTTTTGCATATTTAGATTTCAAGCAACAACGGCAGTAGAATTTTTGTGAGAAAAGTACTACGTTACTTTAAAAGAAGTAAAGGGATATTAGAAGGACCATGTTTTCACTTTATAAATAAACTTAGTTGATATGCCACAATTCAGGAAACAAGTCTAAGTGTATTGAAAAGTGTTTCCTCTGAGTGAGTACCAGGTAACAAAAATATGCAGCTCTCCATTATCCTTCAGTTGTGCTGAAGAAGTCAGTGTTCTTAGCTTTTGTTCCTTTTGGGCAGGATTCGGTTTATTTTTTGTGGACACACTTTATCTTCTGGTAATACCAAAAATGTAGCCATATTTTGGGAACATAGTTGGGAAAAAGTCACCATCCTTTTGTATCTAGGGTCCAGACCCTAGACACACTACTAAAGTGATGGTACTGTGTGAGTCTATGGCTTATGACCTGTAGAAAAAGCCAAGGTTGAGGAATGGTACTAAAAACACTGTTTTATGTTATTTCAGGCTATTACAATTCTATCATATATTTATGCTCAGGGAGTACACTCAAATTGGAATCTTTCTCACCCATAAGAATCTCTCATGAACATCTCTATATGCAGTATTCTCCAATGCAAGATAAATGGCAGAATCCAATTAAAATTAAGCATTTTAATTGATACTTTAAAATTGAATATCCCATGGAATCTGCTTCAGTTATAAGGAGTGCTTGTTCCCTTTTCTTTTGTCTAAATTAGTAAATGTAGAATCATGAATGAACTCAATATAAGAATATAAGAAATGAAACAAACAAAGGATAAAACAATATGCTGCTTTCTCAACAGATGAGAAGTCAATTTTTAGAGTGTGGGATATATGGATATAAGTAGATGTATATGTGGGTAAAGGGTAACTATGGATGGGTTTCGTTAGTCAAAGATTCAGTTGTAAAGAACAACTATTGCAAACCATTCTTTATGTGATTAAACATTAAGCAATTGCTGAAATGTTTTCATTCCTTGATTATTATATGAATTAATCCTTTCCCCACAAGTACACGGTTTCTGAAATGAAAAGTAATACTCTGGTACTGTTTCCTTTCAGTTTCGGTACAAGAAGAGAGTATACAGACAATTGAATCTTGATGAAAAGCAGTTAGCTAAGCTTCATACAAAGGTATGTCCAAATGTCGTTCTAGGACATTTTATAGTCATTTTTCTATTTTAATTCAAATCCTTTGGTTTTATTAACAAACTAAGAAAATTATAGGGCAGATTGCAAGATAGATATTATTATAAAATCAAATTGGACAAACAAGAATATAGCAGGGGCAGTGCAAAGCTCCTAATTGTTTCCCAGGCAGTTGGGGGACTCCCCAGATAGCAGTGAGTACAAATAATGTATGTCAGGTTGCCTGACTTTGCTGATGCTTCTTACCTCCCAAAACCTGGGACCATGTGAACCTTAATGTTAAAGTGTTAAAGCAATGCCCAGTTTGTTCTCCTTCTCCCTTGACCATAGGTTTCTCTCTCTAGTGAGAAAACAGCAGCTACTTCTTATATGCCCAGGCACTCCCTCCCCCTGCTTCTTAGCTCATAGAGATAGAAAATAGACTACGTTGAGGTTTGATGGCCATTAACTCAATCTGCATTCCTATTTTGTGGGTTAAAGAACCTGAGTCAAGTGCCTGAGTCTGCCTTAGAAAGCAAGAGGAAATCAGCCAGGAGAGGGCAATGACAAATCTTCAAATGATCAAATCCACAGTCGTCAAAATAGTGAATGTAGAGAACCATATGTATGACGATTATAGTGCACAGATCTGTTGTCAGTGGGGTGTTAACTCTTCAGCATTTTAGTCTGATTTGTCGAAGTTGTCTAAGGTGTGAACGCTTTCCAAATAGGTTCAGCACCTTGGACAGGTCTTTTAAAGTTCCAACCCACACCTTGAATAGATTCACACACACTCACGATTTGTCATTGATATTAGTCACTATCACAGAAGAATTAGAAGTATGTGAAAGGTAGTAATTAAAACATACATGGTAAGTCAAGAAAAATGAATCAAAAAGCCAAATCAACATTAGGCTGCATCTGGTATTTATACAAAGAATTGCTCTTCCTAATGAATGTGTCCAAACATTTTGTGATACAAATCAGTTTTAGTTCCAGCTGTAATAGACACAGGGCTTAAATATCCTAAATCCCTAGATTAATTTGAATATGTTTTTATGGGTTTTGACTGATTTTTAAGAAATATCAATGATACTTAATTTTGTTTTAATGTTTGTATATTTGTAGATTTCAAATTGTATTGAAATGCTTTTAATGTAAGCCACTTTGAATCTCCTTGTGGAGGGTATAAGTAAACATAATACTGTAATAATAGTAATAATAATAATAATAATAATAATAATAGATACATTGTATCAAATTGAACTTGATCAATCAATATTTTATAAGTTACATTTATTAAACTGGATTTGGGCATTTAGTTTATTTTCATTTTAATAGCTCCTCTTTGTAAAAACTCTGTTAGCTTAGTAGGCTATCTGCCTTCATTAGGTTACCAGTCTTTAGAGTTTCTTTCCTGCACCTCAGAATGACAAGCCTACATTGGAACTTTCAAACTTTCTTCAGTTCAGAGTTGGAGTGAAGAGTCCAAAAGCAAGATACTTCCCTGGTGAAATCTGTCTCCCATGAAGGCTCTTGATCCCCCAACTCCTTTAACTTGAGGTTGTCTGACACAGTCTTGCTACAATTCCCTGTTACCTCTAGAACAGTGGTTCTCAACCTGGGGTCCCCAGATGTTTTTGGCCTACAACTCCCAGAAATCCCAGCCAGTTTACCAGCTGTTAGGATTTCTGGGAGTTGAAGGCCAAAAACATCTAGGGACCCCAGGTTGAGAACCACTGCTCTAGAAATAGTAATTATTTTATAATCTTCAGCGGATGTTTGCAATAGATAGGTATGGAAATAAAAATAATATCCCTCTGGAAAGGGAAAATATATAGGTTTAGCAGTAAACCATGTTGGTCTTTTTGCACTTTATTAGATGATACAAGTTTGTGGGGACTATTCACTGGCAGTTTCTTCTCACTTGTGAATCTGCAAAGTGATCTTGTAACACTTTAAGACTATTTTACAGAATCAAGTTGAAAGCAAAAATATCCTCCGAGAAAGTAGACTTAGTCTACGAAAACTTATCTTACTAACTTGTTCTCTCAGATGTCTCTAAGGTGTTACAAAATCCCTTTCTGTACCAATACTCCAAATTAACATGGCTAAATCTGAATTCTCACATATGGCTTTGTGATCAAAATAAACTGAAAAATAACCTAAAATTACTTTTTAAAAATATTGATAAGGTTCTATTTGCTGCACTAGTTTGCTAGTACATACTTGTCAAGACATATGAATAGGAAACAATCAGGGCCAGCTAATAACTCACAACAAAGGATTTCCCCTGTGCAGGAAGCAGCCAGGCTTTGAAGCTGCAAGGCCATTCAATACTGGGTGGCCAATTGCAACATTCACACTTGCCTCAAATAGACAAGAGTTCTTTCTCCCACCTGGACATTCCACAGATATGTAAACCTCACTTGTCTAGTTTCCAACAGGCTGTGAGGATGCCTGCCATAGATGTGGGTTAAACGTCAGGAGAGAATTCTTCTGGAACATGGCCATATAGCCCAGAAAACTTACAGCAACCCACTGATTCTGGTCATGCAAGCCTTCAATAACACATATGAATATTTTGTTTGAAATAAATTTCTTGGCTAGAGACATACAAACCAAATGGAAATAGATAGCAAGTGATAAATAAGAAAAAGTTCAATCTCTTCTGTCTGACTATGTGTTCATTATGTACAGTCATAAGAATGATTACACATACATTTGGGTAGCCAATGACTGTAAATGAAACCGATATTTGAAGGTAATAAAAATAGCCAAAATTTCTTTTTCAGGCCAATTTTCGAAAATTTATGGACCATGTTCATCACCGTTCAGTAGAAAAATTAATAAAGATGTTGGACCGAGGACTTGATCCAAACTATCATGACTTAGAAACTGGAGGTATGAAACACATAAATCTGTTTTTTTTAATTTGATTAAAAATAACATGTCTAACATGAAAGGATTTGAATTAATAATAATCTTGTATGTGCCAAAGAAGAAGATGCATAATAAAAGACAATCAATTAAAATGTGAATCCCAGAACTGTTTATTTCTTTTCATTCTTTAGAAACCCCACTAACGTTGGCAGCTCAACTTAACAATAGTGTTGAAGTGATCAAAGCTCTGAAAAATGGAGGAGCCCATTTAGATTTCAGAGCCAAAGATGGAATGACAGCATTACACAAAGCAGCTAGAGCCAAGAACCAAATCATTTTGAAGGTACATTCTTTCACAGACAAGTTGTATATTGTTTTCTATAAAGGAGTGAAGGAAATTATCTGAGTTAATTTTGGTATCTTAAATGGATATTTTAATTGACTTTTGCTCAAAGGTGTCTGTCTTTGGGTTTTTGCTTCTGAAATTTGTTTTAAGAAAATAATTTAATATGGTGGAAAGAAAAGTAGTGGTGAAAGTTTCTATCTCATTAATACATAGACAATGTAATATTTGCTGTGGGAAATGGGAACAGTGCAACAATTATCATTCTTTGAGGATGAAAATTCATACCAGGAAGCAGGCCCGTAGCGAGGGGAGGGGGGTTTAGGGGTTCAACCCCCCCCCCCCGAAATGTTTCAGATTTTTTTAAAAAAACCTGGTTTACTCATGAATTTTAACTGGTTAACCAAATCCCCATGCTAAGTCTATGAGATGCAAAAAATCAAGGGTCCCTTCAGAACTGCAAGCACTATCTCAAGCAAATATTAGCAATTTATTCACACTGTCATTACTTGCAGCAATAGCCGATGTAGTTGTTCTGGTACAGCTGTACCAGGAGCTCCAACTTTATTTGCTTTGTATTAAATGTTTGCTTGCAGTCCTAGGTTTCAGGGACTCTGCAGATAGGTGGCTTCTTTGGTTGCAGTCATAGGGCAAGTCACCTGTCCATCATTGTTAAGTTTTGGTCCCGCCCCTTGCTCAGGGCAATTGGGAAGGGAAGGGAGCCATTTTTAGTTAGTCTCAGCGAAGTAAGCTTATGTATAGGATGTGTGCAAGCTTCCCCTGTACAAAAGCTTCAACCCTTAAGACCTTCGGGAGAAAGGTCTTAAGAGTCTCCAAAGAATTTCCAGGAAAACAGCCCTAAAGACCAAAGAACTCCAGCTGGAGAACATCTACTGCCTTGCTGGTAGGTCCACTTGGCGTTCGAGATGCAGTTTGACCCGGTAGCGGAGCCCACATCAGGAAGGGTTAGATTACAGTCAGCCTGGGAGAAGTTAAAAAGGGAACTTTCCTTTAAATAAGAAGTTATTGAAGACAGTTGCCTGTCCTTCGTGGGCAATATTAGGAATTCACCAGTTGCCTAAAATCATTTGCTTAACTTTACTGAAGACAAGAGAAGTTTCTATTTGATTGTTCATTAATAAAAGACTTTGTTGTACTTCTCAAGCCATCTAAAGACTGTTTGTGGTGGAAGCCTCTGAGAACTTCTCTTTAGGCCCCCTGGCTTCCCGCTGGGCAAAGGTTGCACATTCTGTTCTAAAGACAATTATTTACAGGCCCAGCGCGCGACAGAATAGTAGTGAAGCAACCAAGTTGGGGGGGGGGGGGATGTTGAATGCTCTCATTAAGGAGGCCAGACTTGGTGGAGGTGGTTGACAAGGGCGGAGCTGCAGGCTATTGAAGGCTGCTCTGGCCCTGCTGTGCTCTTTGCTTCAGCGTGAGCTAGGAGGCAGATTTCAACCCCCCCTGTGAAATTTTCACCCACCCCCCCGAAAATTTCAACCCCTCCCGAATTTTTTTTCTGGCTACGGCCCTGCCAGGAAGCTACAATATTTAGACCTTTCAAAACTATTATTTCTTCTCTTTAACCTTCATATTTTATGTTTATTAATTACTTTACATTTCTTAATGTTTTTGAATTTGAAATTTTGTATGGTTTATAGAGTCTTCTTAATTTCTGAAGACTTTGAGGATTGCTTTGTTATGAACTGCCATTAAATTGATGTTGACTTATGGCAACTTCATGAATGAGAACTTTCCCAAATCACTCCTTTTGTATTTTTGTATTTTTGTGGCATTTGTATTTAATTCATGCAAATGCTAACATATTCTCCAAACTTACAATTATTTACAGACCCTGTTAGAGCTTGGAGCATCTCCCAACTACAAGGACAGCTGTGGACTGACACCCCTGTATCACACTGCTGTTGTTGGAGGAGATCCATATTGTTGTGAGCTGTTACTTCATGAACATGCTACTGTTGGTTGCAAGGATGAAAATGGATGGCAAGAAATTCACCAGGTAGGAAAAATGTCATAATGTAAGAATATTTGTTTAGTGGCTTTTTCTGTCATCTAACGATCTATTTTGTTAAACCTGGCTAGAGTCTTTCAGACTAAGTAATGTATTGAAATTTGCATCCCTACTTCAAAAGGCTTTCATTCTCTACTGGCTGATCTAGTTTCTTTGAAAATAGCCAGATTTGAATGGTTTCTTCCTTTCACCCTGGACATTCCACAGACATATAAACCCAAATTTCCTAGTTTCCAACAGACCTCACAACCTCTGAGGATGCCTGCCATAGATGTGGGCGAAACTTCAGGAGAGAATGCTTCTGGAACATGTCCATATAGCCTGGAAAACTCACAGAAACCCAGTGATTCCGGCTATGAAAGCTTTCAACAACATAATCTTATCTTTGTTGGCAGACTGAAAAAAAATCCACCTGAGTTTCATTTGTGTGTATGTGTGTGTGTGTGTGGAATGACATATTTAAAATGATGGAAAAATGCTCAATTCTTGACATATGTTGTTTTCATTTTTTGTGCTTTAGTGAAAGATCGCATTTTCATCACTCCTTTAAATCCTTATTTGGTGACAGGAAGTAAACTGAAGCTGTGACAGGAAGTAAACAGAAGCTGTGCTTTCTCTCTCTTCTGTGTTACAACTGAACATGCTTTGCTATTTAGCAGCTGGAAACATCTGTCCAAAATGATACAGCATTCCAGACCTTTCTTTATCTCAATGTATCTGGTGCCCCCTTGAGCTGTCCAGTGGAATAGGCAGTCTGAAGCCTTGCCTCCAAAACTGGTCTGATTTTAATAATATGGAGCACACATGATTATTTGGGTATCATGTTGCAATGCATCTTGTTTACTTATAATATGTTGATGTTATTATAAGCTCCCTGGGCTGCTGACTCTTTTCTGCTCTGTGGCTTATTAAAAGTAATCAGTTTTTGGTTTGTTATTGTTTTTGGCAAGAGTTAGTAACAATGGTGTTGTAGTTTGGGTGTTGGACTATGACTCCGGGGAATCACGGTTCAATCCCCCATTTCATTGTGAAAACCAAGTGGCAAACCTCTCCTAAATAAATCTAGACAAAAAAACTAGGTTATGGTTGCCATAAGTTGAACTTGTTTTGAGGGCACATAATAAAAAGAATATAGCAAAATATGTTGACAAAAGCATAACATTAGTCCACCTTCCAGTGATCTATTTGAGAAGAGGTCCTAGTACTTGTGTTTTTTTAACCTGTATGTATTTTAAATTTATCCCATGGAAATTTACTAACTGATGGGAGACTTCATAATGGTGGTGTAGTGGTAAATTGTAAAAGATCAGTACTCGGTATGCCATGCCAATAACCATATGTCCAGGGAGAGACTTTATTCCGATACAAAACTGATTAACTCAGTCAGCTCAAGTATTTTTATACACTGATATCTTAAAGCATATAGGCCGCCAGACTAAATGTTAACCTACTTTTATACACTGATATCTCAAAATCATAAAGTTCTGGGCATCTTCAAAAAGAAGCTGAATAGAACCTTAGCTGGAGAGCGTGCATTGAGGTTGGACTGGATGGCCCATCACGCTACTTCTAAGATTCTCATGTAGGGCAATCGAGAGTCTTAAATTAGATTGTATAAACATAAGCACACAAGTGTGAACTCTGGGACATTTGTTTCATTGTGACTTTTTATGCTTGTTGAACCTGCATTTGTTTATAAGTTTCTTTCAGAAATCTGCGCATACACCTTAGTGTCTTTGTACTTGAAAGTATTGTAAGAATACAAAAGCCATATTCTCTGGCTGTATTCAGAGATAACACAGGTTGACTTGTAGCTGGAATGTAGGTCAATTGAGCAATACTTGCTCAGTAAAAATAAGGTCATCATTCAGAACACTGTGAATCAATCCCATATAATTGAAGGTGTGAATCATCTTGTAACAATGAGGAAGCAATAATAATAATAATAATAATAATAATAATAATAATAATAATAATAGCTCTGGAATAAACCAGTACAGGTGGTCCCAGTGGTCATTGGCGCACTGGGTGCCATGCCAAAAGATCTTGGCCGGCATTTGGAAACAATAAACATCGACAAAATCATGATCTGTCAACTGCAAAAGGCCACCTTAATTGGATCTGCGCGCATCATTCGAAAATACATCACACAGTCCTAGACACTTGGGAAGTGTTTGACTTGTGATTTTGTGATACGAAATCCAGCATATAGATCTTGTTTGCTGTGACATACTGTACTTTTGTGTCTGTAAAATAATAATAATAATAATAATAATAATAATAATAATAACTTTATTTGTATTCGACCCCATTTCCCCAGAGAGACTCGAGGTGGCTTATAAGACAACAACACTGCAAACCAGGGACAACATAAAATATACAGCAAATAACCTAAATCAATACAAGTGAGCACCAAAAGAAATAAGACTAAAACATAACAAATTGAATTTAAAATAAAACACATCATAAGTCACAAATTGGATTTTACTCAACTGTATTCAGTTTTCTTTGCTTTTTATATAATGGTAAATAGACCATACTCAAATGTTTTCAATTACTAATTAAGTTAGGAGAGACTTTTTTGACTTTTAGAGCTTAGTGACACATAGAAAAAATTATTTTGTTGTTGTTTTGCATCATCATGTCTTTTATGTTTTATGATGATCCTAAGGTGAACCTATCACAGGATTTTCTTGGCAAGATTTGTTTAGAGGCTTTTTGCCTTTGCCTTCCATTGAGCCTGAGAGAGTGTGCAAGGTCACACAGTGGTCTTCCATTGCTAAGTGGCAATTCAAACTGTGGTCTTGAGAACAGTAGTCCAACACTCCAATCACTACACCACATTGGCTGGTATGCCACAGCTCACCTGCCATCTGAACCTTGCCCCTCTCTCAACTTACCTTAGCAGTGCTTGCTGGACATCAAAGTAGATGGAGACTCCTTGAAGCCTGAAATGATGCTGTCTAGCATTCCAGGGAGACAGGGCATTTGAGGGGAAAATAGCTTTGATTGTTTTTACATGGGGTTGTAGTGGTGGATATTGCCCACCAAGAACTTCTGAAAAGCTGATATGAACACCTAGCCTTCCCCAGTTGCTTTTTCTAGACGTAAACCAAGTTGTCCCTGTTGCAATTATTTCTTCTCTACAACTCATATGTGTTCCTTTCTCTCCTTTCCCTCTCCAGATGGCCAATTTTCAAATTGACTAATTACATACATAATATTCTCACTGTTCTCACTATATTTCCTTCAACTTGGTTAAAACGTTCTCTACTCAGCTCCTTGTATGTCCTTAACTGAACTAAAACTATCCTCATGCTAACTAGCTAACAAACATTGTTATCATTCATTCTCTTCCTGAGCTCATGCTTCACTAATGAGATGTTGGATCATAGGGCCCTTTCCAGTTCTATGGTTCTGTGACTATATTATCATCCTTCCTCTAGCCATTCTGATTGTTAATAAACTATTTCATCTGAAACATTCTGAGGGCTGTGAAAGGCCAATCCTTCACCGCCACCACCATCACCCTTCCCTGTGCTAATCAGTGCAGAGAAAGAGCATAGTGTATCCCCACCTCCACCACTGCTCTTATCCAGCCATTCAGCTCTATAAGAGCACCTGAGTGCCCATGCAACCAGCAATAAAAAGGAAATATTAACATTGTGAGTAGATCAATAGGTACCGCTTCGGTGGGTAGGTAACGGTGCTCCATGCAGTCATGTTGGCCACATGAGCTAGGAGGTGTCTACGGACAATGCCGGTTTAGAAATGGAAATGAGCACCACCCCCAGAGTAGGACTCAACTAGTCTTAATGTCAAGGAGAAACCTTTACCTTTATTGCCATTGTAGTTCTTGCTGGTTGTGTGGGCACCCCTTCTGACATCACAGATGCTGCAAGCAACAGCCAAGATCTCACATAGAGCTCTTTGACTAGCTCAGAGCTGTGTCTGGACACAGAGCAAGGTGTTAGATTCAGGTGGGTCCAAGGTTGCTCTGGTCCAGATTTACATTAGATGTAGTTTGTATAGAGATGAGAAGAAAAATCATGTTTTATAATCTACCAGTTCATAAGCGGGAGGTTGCATGCATTTCTAAACTTGGCATTACAGAAGGCCTTACTCTGAGAAAGGGCTCCCTAATAACACTCTGGATTTGGAAATTTCTCATAAACCAATATACAATAAATATAGAAATGGCAATTGCTAATTTCCCCATGAAGTCTGGTCTCATTTTAGTATAGTTTCTTCATACTATAGGACTGCACTATTTACTCACTATAATTATTGTGAATATATTACATCAACAGCTCTTCTACATATTAGTAAAATACAGTTGCATGCATCTTCATAGTTTGTATACTGCAGTTCCGAGAACTATTTTCACAAGACATGTAAAAAAGATCAGGTTTTTTACCTTAAGTAAACTTAGATATTTCTTGATACAGAAATGTGATCATTAGTGCCATCTGGTGGCTTCAGAGTTTTATTCTGTGTCTTTGGGAATGCATAACAAATGTTCAAATGGTTTGTAGCATATTTATTTTATTTATTTTATTTATTATTTAAATTTATATGCCGCCACTCCCCTGGGGCTCGGAGCGGCTTACAAGAATAGCTAAAATCTAACAAA